CAGACTTTATTTTCCATTACATGACACGCAATATTTGCTGATAATTTTGTTTGTCTGAGTAATCATTGATACAATGAATAGATATGAATAAACTGGATAAAACAATTGTAAAATTTCTGGGTTTTGCATCGTCAATAGTGTACATTTCCCTCATCTTTGGTAAAAGGTTTCTTAGATTAGCCAATGAACGATAACGGTTTTTTTTTTCTTGTACTATATGGGAAACTATTTGTATCAAGTACCGCGAAGATGGTTTTGTCTAGTCTCTGCTGGTTTTGTTCCTTGCTATGGTGCCAGCCTTTGCCTGTCTTTCATTATTCAACAACAACTCAGACAGCTGCGAAGATATTTAGTTTAGTTGAAGGAAATAAGTTGATTTTTAAGATTAGAAGCTATTTCAAGTTTAATTTCTTCGATGGAGCTCTGCCAAGGTTACGAATCAGTAAATATAGAAAGTGCTATAAGTTCTAATAATTAGAACTTATTGATAGTCAGTAGCGATTAAAAAGGACTGGAATGATTTGCAAGTGCAGCAAGCGAAAGGCGCTCAAAAAGTTCTATACAATGAAAAATACAAGAACATTTTAGTATAAGCCACAGGTTCTCTTTCTCTTACATAAAATTCTACAATAAACAATTGAGTATCTGATGGACCATCATAGTCCACAGTGCTGTGGACACTGTCTTTGTGTATCTCGCTTTGTTCAATTGATTTCCTTCTCCATTCTTTTGTCCTTGGTGACCTTGATCTTGCACTTGAGCTTGAGAAAGGCGAAGGGTGCGATAAATTTTGGAGTAGCAGAAAGAGGAGATCATTAAGCATAATAACAACACTGGACAGGCGATGACCAGAGTAAGAAAAATACTGTAAAATACTACTGTTGCAGTGAAAGTGCTGAATACCCAAAAAGTTGTAAGAAGGGCCCTTACTCACCTCACCATTACCGCCTGTTTGTTCTCAGCCCCGACAACAGAGCAAGAAGTCTGTCCAAACTTATTGCAGTCATTGTCAACAGTGATACCGCGCACAATATTAATCCAAAAGTATTAAAATGTAATGCAGAGTAGTAACAACCTTTTGAATGCTCTGAAGACACGAAGACCCACGCACAAATCTGTGCAAGCAAGACAACCGAGCAGTAGTTTCGAGGGCGGATGAAGGCACGACATCTTACGAAGAGTAACGATGATCAGAAAATTTCCTACAAATGCAGCTATGGATAGAGGAGGATTTGTAGCTGAAATGAATATCTTCTGAGCTGCTCCGGGACCAATAATGCAGGAAAATTTTGCGCTTGTTTTCATATAATTTCTATCTCAGCTAGATTCGCCATGATTTCATCCAGGCTTTTTCTCTATTCGAAATCCAAGCTCTAGTAACAGTGTTTAGGTTGATTTAAAGCAGTCGGTTTTTACCTCTTCAAAGTCAGTTCGTCTCTTCTAAAATAAAAAAAATTATCTCTTAATCCATAGGATAATATTATAAGTTAACGAAATGATATGATGGTCAATATATTCCTAAACATTGACAATTTCGCCACCAAGCATGAAACGTTTTGCTTGGATTGGTTACAAGCTCAGCTGATACTTTTCGTGCTACAGAAGAAGAGGTGTTTTTATGGGTGTTCATAAACATAAAACTGTAAACCTACAATAGTTTATATGGTCCCCACGAAAAACCGCTATCCATAGTTTGAACTAATAGAGAAACAAAGGCTAGAGCACCAAAGAAATGTAGAGATAAACACAAGACGTAGTGCTTATCACATTACTTTGCTGAGTAAAATATATAGAAATGATAAATAACTTCAAAAACACAAAGTAAATT